TTCTTTCTTTCTTTCTTTCTTTCTTTCTTTCTTTCTTTCTTTCTCTTCTTTCCTACTTTCTCCTCTTTTTCTTTCTCTCATGTTTTTCTTTTTCCTTTCTCCTTCATTCCTTCCTTCTCTCTTTTTATTTGTTTCTCTCTACTTCTCCCTCCTTCCCCTTTCTTTCTTTTTTCTTTTCCTTCCTTTCTCTTTTTTCTTTCTCTGTTTTTCTTTTTCCTTTCCTTTTTTCCTTCTCCTTCCTTCCTTCCTTCCTTCCTTTCTTTCTTTTTATTTCATTCCACTTCTCTCTCCCTCCCTCTTCTTTCTCTCTTCTTCTTTTTTCCTTCCTTTCTTTTTTCTTTTTCTTTCTCTTTCTCTCTTCTTCTTTTTTCCTTCCTTTCTTTTTTCTTTTTCTTTCTTTTTCTTCTTTCTCCTTTTTCTCACTCTCTCCTTTTTCTCACTCTTCTCTTTTTCTTTCCTTTCTTCCTTCTTTCATCTTTCTTTCTCATTCTTTTCTCTCTTTTTAATTGTTTCTCTCTACTTATCACTCCCTTCTATCTTTTTTCTTTCTTCCTTTTTGTCTTTCTCACTTTCTTTTTATTTCTCTTTCCTTCTCTCTCTTTTTCTCACCTTCTGTTTTTTATTTCTCTGGTTTCCTTCTTTTTCTTCTTTTTTACTTTCTCCTCTTTTTCTCTCTCTTTCTCTTCTGTGTTTTTCTGTCTGTTTTCTCTTTCTTTTTCTTTCTCACTTTTTCTTTCTCTCTCCCTTCTCTTCCTTCCTTCCTTCCTTTTTTCTTTCTCATTCTCTTCTTTCTTTTTATTTCTATTTCTCCCTCCCTTCCCCTTCCTTCCTTCCTTTTCCTTCCTTCTTTCTTTCCTTCCTTCCTTTCCTTCCTTCCTTCCAACTTAATAACCCTGGGACTAATTTGACTTCTGCAGCAAATCGCTGTCAAAAAAACAACATGCGATTGACTTAATCCCTGATTCGATGAACGACGGCCGGCCAAGAAAGTTTGTAAAAACAGGCTCCAACATTTCCCTTTCCGAAGTGTCTCGTTCTGCAACTGCCGCAATTTGGGAGTGACTCGACGACATCGGTCATAAGCTGAGGCCTCTCCGTTACTCCCCTTCGCTTTATGAGATGGGTCAATGGCAGGCGGCCTTTGGAAGGGGGCTGGGGGTCTTTCTGAAATGCCCACTTCTCTTTCCTGAACCCCCCAACCCCCTTGCAGTCCCCCTTTATAGAAAAACACTTTCAAAAGTTTTTCTCTTGGCAACACAGAAAGCTGTCGAAAACATCTGTGGGTTTTCTCTCTTGGCGGCGAGAATGAAGCCCCCCAGAGGCCACCCACCTACCCTTCCAGCTTTGCATTCAAGCCATCACCGGCCCCAAATAATTCCCCCTGGCAAACCAGCCTTTTCAATCCCCCCCCCCCCCCCCCCCCACCCCCCCCCCCCCCCCCCCGAAAGAGGACCGTGGGAACCCGGCGTCTTCCCATCGCAGCTGGCTTTGTTCCCTTTCTGGTGACCTTTGACCCTCGTTCCCACCCCCACCCCAAGTGCTGGAATCTTTCCAGGGACACCCCTCTCCCCATGGTCACAGCTCCCCCGCACCCCACATATGCACACACACTGCCCCTTTGTAAGACAACGCACCATCTGCTCTGGCTGCGCTCAGACGTCCCTTCGCGGGGGGGAAAAACAGCGACAATACTCGGCAAAAGGAGGGTGGGGGTATCCGGGTCATGCATTGGGGCGGGGTGGGGGACACAACTCATTTGCATCTGTGAGCAAATCCCCCCCCCCTCAAAAAAAAAAAGAAAAGGAGGAATAGGTGGAGGAGGAAGCGGCCAGGCTTTTCCCATGATCTTTGCCAGAGTGGGAATTCGCCGATTGCTACTCTCGGAGTGCCAATGGGTCAATCTCCATCCAACCGTTTAGCCAGGGGAGGCTGTCACAATGGAGACTTGGAGACTGACTCCCCAAATTTGGGACCTTATCATTATTATTTTTTGCACAGAGAAGGGTGGATCTCACAAGTTTGGGAAGCTGTGGGGAGAGGGAAAGGCACCCCACACCTGCCAAGAGGGGGTGGGCTCAGGTCTAGACCAGGCTGGCGGGGGAGGCAGCAAATATGCTGTGTTCTGGGGAAAGAGAAAACGAACGGCCTTCCGTGAATCGATGTCAACTCATGAAATACTTCTATGGCCTTTTTAAAGTTGCTAACAGAAAGGGAGAGGGGAGCAGTGCGGCAGCTTGGAAATCGAAAGTGCATTCCATCAATAGTTTTTTCAAAGATAGCAACTAGGTGACTGAAGTTTCTGCCGTGCAAATATCTAACGGGAGAACATGATTGATGAATGAATGAATTCTTTATGAATGAATTCTTTATTGGCCAAGTGTGATTAGACACACAAGGAATTTATCTTGGTGCATGTGCACTCAGTTGTACATAAAAAGAAAAGATACATTCATTAAGAATCATAAGGCACAACGCTTGATATAGTCATAGGGTATAAATAGGCAATCAATAGAATAGAATAGAATTCTTTATTGGACACACAAGGAAACTTGTGACTCTGGGCTATGGATGTGTCCCGTTGGAGAATATAATTTATAACACACCCAGGGGGTGGTGGGGGAAAACCAGGGACAAGGGTGACAAGGAATAATCTGCCTCAGAGTCGGCTCCACTCAGGCAGTGCCGGACATTTTAACTCCCCATAAATCCTTTTAAAGTTTGGCTCAAGACTCATGATTTCATTGGGGTAACTGCGGGAATCCTGACACTCTGTTTAGCTCCCGATGAAGGCCCTTTATAGATGTAGCCCTTGACTTTACAACTGGCACGGGGGGGAGGGTTGGACTAGAAGACCTCTAACGTGTCCCTTCCAAGCATGATTCTCACGGATGGACGGTCTGTTAGCCAAGGGGCCAGAGCCAGCAGTGCTGTGACCAGGAAAACTTGAGTGGGCTTCTCTGGGCCTTAATGCACAAACCCAAGGACAGGTGGAACCAAGTTGGAAGGGGTCCCGGAGGTCATGTAGTCTAACCCTGGTGTGTACATCCATGAACAGGCGACTGTTCATTTACTGACAGTTTGAAATGACGACGGCGCTGAAAAAAAAAAGAGAGGCTGATGATCCCCTTTTTTGCACTTCCTGTATTCCCCCCCCCAAACCCGGTCACGTGATCAAAATTTGGACGCTTGGCCACTGACTCATATTTATGACAGTTGTGGTGTCCCGGGGGGTCATGTGATCCCCTTTGCGCCCTTCCGACAAGTGATGGGGAAGCCAGATTGACTTCACAACCATGTGACTAACACATCGGTGATTTGTTTAACGACAGAAGGCAGATAAGCGATAAAATGGGGGCAAAACTCATGTAACAAATGTCTCACTTAGCGACTTAGGAGATCGGCTTGAAGTAAGCCAGTTGCCTTGGTGCCTAAGGCGGGACTAGAACTCCCGATCTCCCAGTTTCTAGCCTGCTGCCTTAACACTTCACCCAAACTAGCTCTTCATGTGAACCTTCCTTGATGGCTTAGCGTGGATTCTCTTCTTTCAAAACAGCGTGTCTGGCGCCTAGTCTTGGGACAGGGAAATCTAGGCGCCCTTCCCCACGGGGTGGGCATCCATCCCCACGTTGGTCTACTGGACAACCTTGAGTTGGACCCTTCCCACTTCTCCTCCTTTTGCAAGGTTGTGGCTACATTCGGCTTCTCGGAGAGGAACATTCTTCACCTCCTTGGCGGAACTGAGGGGACAATTTATCCGGGAAATTGATAGCTTGAAGACCAACCAGCATCAACAGCCCAAAGCCTCTCTCCATCTCCTCTAGGGCCAAGTTGGCGTCCTGCCCAGCAGAAGGTCCGTCCATAAATCGGAGGCTGGAGAAGATGGATCTCTCGGGGGCTCCACGGCTAACAGCTGTGTGGAAACGTCTCCTCGGGGGTAGCGACGCCGAGAACAGCCAAGCAGAAAAATCGGTCCATGGGCGAGGAAGAACTCTTACATCGGCCAGTTTTTGAAGGAGGAGGAGGAGGAGGAGAAAGAGGAGGAAGAGAAAGAGGAGAAGGAGGAGGAGGAGGAGGAGGAGGAGAAAGAGGAGAAGGAGGAGGAGAAGGAGGAGGAGAAAGAGGAGAAGGAGGAGGAAGAGAAAGAGGAGGAGGAGATGAAGGAGAAGGAGGAGGAGAAAGAGAAAGAGAAGGAGGAGAAAGAGGAGGAGGAGAAAGAGGAGAAGGAGGAGAAGAAGAAGACACCTGGGTAGGTGGATGGGGGTGTCGCTCCAAAATGATCACGGAAGGAAAGTTGGGGCCTCACCAACTTTAGAGGAAGGGAAGACACGGTGTGGTGGGGATGAAGAAAGGAAGAAGAGGGGGGTTCGAATCGAAGGGACCTTGGAGATGGGAGGAGGTCAGGGGTGCAGTTGAGAAAGGTCAGGAGATGTTGGGGAGAGGAAGCATTGCAGGGAATCTCAGTCGCGGGGAGGTGGGATGGAGCGTGGGAGTCTTCTTGTCCCCCAAGGGCTGGAGGGGGGGTGGGTGAAGGTCGAAGGTAGACCTGGGGAGCCCAGGAGGTGAGAGAGAGGGAGAGAGAGAGAGAGAGAGAGAGGAGAGGAGAGAATTGCAGGATTGCAGAAGGGGGACGGGACCTTGGAGGCAATCTAGTCCAAGCCCAGGCTGGAGCTGGAGACCCTCTACCATTTCGGACAAGGGCCGGTCCAATCGCTTCTTGAAGAGCTCGCTCCCCAGTGATGGAGCACCGACAACTTCTGATGGGAAGTCGTTCTACTGGTTCAACCGTCCTCACTCCTTATGTCATGCCCCTGTCGGAGTCTGAATCCGAGGAGGAAGCCGAACAGCTGACAGGGAGCGGGAGTGTGGCTCCGTTGGCTGTGAAGGAAACGGGGGTGGGGGTGGGGGGAGGGCAAAGTCTGACTGGGCAGAACAGGGGAGAGGTAGAACAAGGGAGAGGGTGTTCAGAGGGTAGACCCAGGCCCACCCCACTCTTCATCCTAGGGCACGCAGGGAGGAACGGAGAAGGGAGCAAGGTGGGTTGCCTGGCTTACGGGGGAGGGAAAGGCCCTGATTCCCTTCATTAGCCACACCTGGAGAGAGAGTTTAAAAGAGATGCAAGCTGAGTGCGGCATCTTCTGGGAACAAACGTGAGTTTTATCTTGTGTTGACTTTGCTTATCTGCGTTCCTGGCGTCTTCCCAACCGTGTTGAGTTATTGCCATGCCTTTGCGTCTGGAATTCCTTCTCCTGCCCTGCCAGACTCCTTTTGCCTCGATTGGACTTATAGTTACAGTTTTTGTTGACCACGTTTTGGACTTGATTCTCTGCAGCCCAAAGGCTGTTTACCTGGGAGAGTTTTTTTTTCTTTTCTCCAGCCCAGAAGGTAACCAGGACGTTGGAGATAGTAAAGGGACTCTTATCGCTTAATTGACTGTGTTGCCTTTGTGCCACGCCCCTTTGGGTCCTCACACCTTGGTTGCAGGTTGCTTCTCTCCTTGATGAGTTTCCATCCATTGCTTCTATGGGGCAGGCCCTCCAATTTGGGAAGATGTTCTCATGTCTCCAACCTCCTTCTTTTCACTAGACTAGATATCTCCGATTCCTGCAACCGGTCTCCATGTTTCTCCAGCACAGTGTAAAGGTACAACGGGTAGCTGTTGGCCAGAGTAACATCTGCCTACTGCCTCCAAAGGCTTAAGAGGGGAAGCCTGACGGACAACAGGACTCCTTCGAGCATGCTGTGACTTTCGGCCTGTCGCTCTCTCTCTCTCTCTGCCTCTCTCTCTCTCTCTCTGAGTCCAACCCACCTCACAGGATTGTTGTGGTGGGAAAAATAGGAGGAGGGGGAGGAGGGGGAGGGATGGAAGTAGAAGGGGAGGAAGGAAGGAAGGAGATGAGAGGAAGGAAAGGGAGGGAAGAATGAGGGGGAGGAAGGGAGGGAGGGAGGAAGGGAGAGAGAGGGAAGAAGAAAAGGGAGGGAGGGAAAGAGGAAGGAGAGGGTGGGAGAGAGAGAGAGGAGAGGGAGAGGAAGGAAGGAAGGAAGGAGGGAAGGAAGGAGATAGAAGGGACGGAGGGAAGAGGAAATGGGGAAGAGAGGGGGGCTGCAAGGGAGCAGGGAAGGAGAGGGAGGGAGAAAGATAGGAGAAGTAGAGGGGGAGGAAGGAAGGAAGGAAGGAAGGAAGGAAGGAAGGAAGGAAGGAAGGAAGGAAGGAAGGAATGAAGGAGATGAGAGGAAGGAAAGGGAGGGAAGAATGAGAGGGAGGGAGGAAGGAGTGGGAGGTACAGAGGAAGGAAGGAAGGAAGGAAGGAGAGCAAAATAGGAAGGAAGGAAAGAAGGACAGGCAGGGAGGAAGGAGAGGGAGGGAAGGGCTACTTCAAGGAGGGGGCACTTGTGCTGGGGAGACCCCGCCTCCCTCCCTCCCTCCCCCCCTCCCTCCCTCCCAACTCACTTGCTCTTCCGCAGCTTGAGGTTCTCGGTCTTGAGCAGGTAGAGCTTCTTGGCGAAGAAGACAGTCATCATAAAGAGGAGCAGGACGACCAGAGCGGCCGAGCCCACCGCCACGCACATCACCTGGAAGTCGGTCACGATGGACTCGCAGCGCAGCCCCTTGTGCCAGATGTAGTCTTGGGTGTTGCACCTGAGCGGGGTTGGGGGGGGGGGGGGGAAGGGCCGGGGGGGGGGTTCCAAATTTTTTCCAACTCTTTCGGGGAGAGCATCCCCGCAGGGCTCTTGTATCGACGCCGGGGAGCTGTGCTGGGTTATTTCTTTAGCTCAGCTGAGGCGCAGCAACGCGTTCTGCCACGAGAGAATCAGCTGAGCTAACGCTAGAAGAAACCCAAGGGAATATAGGAGAGGAAAGGGCGGGGCCAGCCAGAGGTGGTATTTGCTGGTTCTCTGAACTACTCAAAATTTTAGCAACTGGTCCGACGGAACCGGACCGAACCGGCTGAATACCACCTCAAAGGTTTGGACTGATCCCACGCAATCCCCCATTCCAGCACTCTCTCTCTCTCTCTCTCCTTCTTCCTATATTTATCTCTCTCTCTTTCTATATCTATATCTCACTACATCTGTCTGTCTGTCTGCCTACCTACCTATCTCTCTACCTCTATCTGTCCTCTCTCTCTCTCTCATCTATCTATCTTTCCCCCCCGCCATCCACCCACACCTTAAATAAAACCTTCCAAGTTTTTGTCCCCTCCCTTTCCCAGCCACCCATGCAGAATTCACCTCCGGAAGAGAGCGATAGCGACATTTGCAATTGAATGAAGTGGAAAACAAAATAAACTAAAAAGAAAAATTCTTAAAAATGATCAAAAAAGGAAACATAAATAATAAAACATAAAATAATTAAATCAAAACAAATTAAAATCAGAAAGATTAAACAAAAAACAAAAAACCCTAAAAAACTATTTAAAAAATTAAAAACATAATTTAATTTAAATTATTTTAAATTAAACTAAAATAAATGAAAGTAAATTAATGAAATAATCAATCAAATCAAATCAAATATAAGAAATAAACCTAAATTAAATTAAATTAAACTAATTAAAGTAAGTAAACAAACTAAAATAAAGGAAATTAATTAAAAAATAAAATAAAACAAAATAATTAAATTAAAGTAAATTAAAGTAAAATAAAGTAAACTAAACTAAACTAAACTAAATTAAAGAAAATAAAGAAATAATTAAATTAAATTATTAAGATCTTTTGTGACCTTTGAGAAAAGATTTGGCCTTACATAAAATCTCCCAGTGGAAATGCCACTCCATAAATCCACTTATAATCCACTGAGCCCAACATTTCTGTCGCTAAGTGAGACAGTGGGGAAGGGAGTTTTGTCCCTTTTAACCACCTTTCCGGCCACCGTTGTTAAGTGAATCGTGACAGTTTTTAAGTCAGTTTTGAGTCACAAGGTCATTAAGTGAATCGGGATTGACTTTGCTCGTCGGGAGATTCACCACTGTGACTGTCATAAATATGAGTCCATCGCCAAGTGCCTTGATAGGAATCACACGGCCATGGGGAGGGAGCAGCGGTTATAAGTGAGGAAAAACAACCATCGCTTTTCCCTGTGCCGTCATAATTTCAAACCATCACTCAGACTTATGACCATTACCACGTCCCCGCAATCAAAACTCCTGTGGCAACGGTCTTGTATTTATGACTGTCTCGTGTCCCCCATCTGCGACCAGTCAATGGGTGAAAGCCCGATTCACTGAATGACTGTCTGACGGCGGGGATTCGCTTCATGGCGGGCCAAAAGGTCATTAAATTGAGTCAAAACTGTTGTGAATGACTGTTGTGTTTGGCAAGATAAATTTTGGGCTTCGGGGTTGTCGTAAATCTGAGAATTACTTGTATTCTGCTCAGGAGACAGATGGAAATAGAGACAGATCTTAAATTCATATTTATATATATAGTTATATAATATTTATATAACATATGTAATATATTATATTATATAACATTCATCCTGATATTTTAGTTTCATATATTTCCTTTTTATAACCTGTTATACAGGGTGGCATTATTCCTTTTTGCTCGACTTATGACCACCTTCGAGCCCAATGTTTCGTCACTTCGTTCCATCTTGAGTTTGGCCCCCTTTGAACAACCTCTCTGGCCACCGTCGTTAAGTAAATCATGGTGGTGGAGAGGCAAACAACCCGGTCTTTAAGTGAATTGGGCTTCCCCATTGAACTCTGCTGGCCTGACAGTCGCAAAAGGGGATCATATAATGTTGGCATCGTCATAAGCACAAGTCAGAATTCTGATTGCACGGCCGCAGGGAGGCTACGACAGTCATAAGGGTGAAAAACAGCCATCAGTCATGTTTTTGTTCAGTGTCGCTGGAATGGTCATTAAATGGGCTGTCGTAAGTTGAGGACTTCCTGTTTGGGGTCTCCTGCTTGAGCAGGGGGGTTGGACTAGATGACCTCCAAGGTACCTTGCATTATTCTACAATTTCTGTAAGGGTCTCCTGCTTTAGCAGTGGGATGGCCTAAATGACCTCTGAGGTTCCATCCAACGCTATGATTTGACATATCTTCCATCTTGGCTGGAGCTACTTGGAACCTACAGAACTCCCCACCACTAGACCTCTGCCAAATCTACAGCCTGAAATGGTGCTCGGCCGGCTCTCCCGACCTCAACAGACTACAAAGCTCAGAGTCCCCGACTTCAGGATCTCCCCATGGGGATCCAGGAATCCATTTCTGACTGCAGTTTCTGACCTCCTGGCCGGACGACCAAGTGGATTAACGGCTTCCGGCGGCTTTGACCTAATTCCGGCAGAGGGGTGAGGCCGGAGGACTCCGAATACCATCTGCCTGCTTCTTCCGACCCCCTCCGTGGAATTCGGGGTAGGGGGTCCTCAAAGAGGACAGCCTCCACACACGGAGCTTGGAACCTCGTCCTCGAGATACGACCATTGATTTAAGAGAGCATTCGATATGACGATGGCACTGAAAGAAGCGACGAGGGGATGTTTGTTTCACCCTTAACAACCATCATGCCTCCCGATGATTCAAATTCTAGATGAAGGGCCACCAAATCAAAACCCGCGTTTCCCTGAAAATAAGACCGGGTCTTATATGAATTTTTGCCCCAAAAGACCCATTAGGCCTTATTTTCCAGTTAGGGCTTATTTTCATGCACCCGTCTGGCTGACGATCTTAACTGGGGCTTATTTTCAGGGCAGGGTTTCTATTACGAGCATCCTGATAAAAAAAATCGCGCTAGGGCTTATTTTCCAGTTGGGCCTTATCTTCAGGGAAACAGGCTACTTATGACGGTTACAGTGTCCCAGGAGGTGGGGGAGAGGTCAGAGTTCGTCCCCATTTTGCGACAAGCCAATCCAGGTGTGGGGGAAGGGCAGGGAGGCCTGATTCGCTGAACAACCAGGTGACCGACTTTATCCGCCCCGTCAATTCCCTTCACAATCGGGGTGCAACTCCCTTCACAAGCGTCTCACTTAACAGCAGAAATGGAAGGGGGTGGTGGAGTGCGTAAGGCACGTCACGACAGCGGGGATTCGCTTCAGGAAAAGTCGCAAAACAGGGCAATACTCACTCAACGACCGTCTCGCTTGGGGGAGGGGCCAAATGGCCATCGTACTGTCGAGGACAGCCCTATCTCAACATTTGATTTGGGGTGAGGGGGGGGGAACAGGGTGGCGCCCTGGAAAGACCCGCCCGGCAAGGGCTAAACTCGCCCATCTCGCTTAGTGACATAAACGTCAGGCTCCACTTTGGTCGTAAGCCGAGAACTACAGGCCTTATGAAACAAACCCCCCCGTCAGCAAAGGGACCAGGCAGCCATGTTAGGTGCGGAATGATTGAGCACCTCCGGTGGCCTAGAGGTGAAGCTCTCGCCTCACCATCAGGAGGCTGTGGGTTCAACCCTAGGGAGAGGCTAACATTTGGAACAGACTCTTCTCCTCAAGCAGGGGGTTGGACTAGATGACCTCGCAGGTCCCTTCCGATGTTCTTCTTCTGTCAGGGTCTAACTGTTTGGGCTGGGGGTTGGACTAGAAGACCTCCCCGTTCCCTTCCAATTCAGCGACTCCAAGTTGTGCTCCGGTGGCCTAGAGGTGGAGCTCTCGCCTCACCATCAGGTGGCTGTGAGTTCGATCAAGGCGAACGTTTCGGAACAGGTGGGTTGAGTTAGATGACCTCCGAGGTCTCATCCAACTCTTGTTATTTCTGTGAAATCTATGACATTCTTTGGGGAGGAGGGAGGAATCGAAATGGGGGTATGAGGTCAAAGGTGAGGCCAAGATGGGAGGGGGGGAGAAAAGGGGAGGGGTCTCTTGGCTTCAGCCTCCCCCTCCCCCTGCCACTGTGAGACCCTCGGGGGTCCCATTTTGAGTCTGGGGGCAACTGAGGTGGGGGGGGTTCCTTGACCCTTCCCAATTGGGGGAGGGGGGCAAGAGTCAGGAGCTCCAAAACGGCCCCCGCCATCTTGGTTCCAGCCTCGGGTTCAAGGGATGGAATTTTCAGAGGGGAGGGGGCCGTCAAAGAACACCCCCCCCCTTGGTTGCAGAAGAAGGAAAGAGGGAGGGGGGATATCTTTCAAGACCCTCCCCCCTACTTTAAGCCCCTCCCTCTTGAATCCTCTTTTAATGACCCTCGGCGTTCAACGAAACCTCTGCGGAATTCAGGCGGGCCGATTGGCATCTGGGAAAGAAGAACTCCTGAGCATGCGCAGAGTGCTTTTGAGTGTGTGTGTGTGGGGGAGTTTTCTTCAGTGCCACGTGAGAATTGAGCAGGGGGGGGGGGGCTTTCCTGAATGGGACAGAATGAATCCACAGAAGGTGCCCAGGAGGTCATCTAGCCTGCCCAGCTCCGCTGCGTTTCTCCGTCGACCAGCTGAGCGGTGGGTGAGGGCTGCTCCTGGGCTCCTCAGCCTCCAGATGTCAGATTTCCATCCCCCCAGCACCAGTTCAGGGGTTCCTTCCCCCTCCCCCGGGGGAGAGACAGAGAGAGAGAGGGGGGGAAAGAGAGGGAGGGGAAGAGAAAGAGGCGGGGGAGGGGGGAGAGAGAGGGAGGGAGGGAAGGAACAGAGAGAGGGGGAGGAAAGAGAGGCAGGGAGGAAGAAAGAGGAAGGGAAAGAGAGAGAAACAGAGACGGAGAGGGAGGGAAAGTGAGGGAAAAGGGGCAGAGAGAGGGACGGAAAGAGAGAGAGAGAGAGGAAGGAGGGAGGGGGGAGGGAAAGAGA